GTTTAGGAAACTCAGATAGCGTCATCGAGGGACTATGATCTTTTGTTTTGTTTTTGTTTTGCCAAAGCACTTGACATGCATATCATGGCCCATTTTTGAAAGCAACAAGTGGATGAAACCCTAGGGGTGCAAGTGTGCATTGTATTTATTTTCATGCCTTGTTATCTTGAATTAGGTCAAACTATTTGTTAATTTGATTTTTGCATACAAAACTCTAAGTCTAATCATGGCATAATTGAAAGCTTAAAGGTGCGAGAATTTAAATTCTACACTATTACAACATGATATAGGGAGGGGGTACAAATTTGTATTGGGGATTATTTTGCAATATTTAAATAAATACAACAAATAAATATTAAATAAAGTGTATTATACAAAAAATGTTTTTTATGTATGAAAAAAGTATTTTTAATGTGAAACGTAAATAAATAAAAAGTTAATTTCAATTATTTTGTTTTTTAGGGCAAAACCCTAATTTCTTAGATAAATAGTATTATTTATTATTTTATATACAATGATGTATTAATTTGTACAAAAATATAAGTATATTTAAAAATATGGTATTTTAGTATAAAAATATTAATAAAAATAAAAATGTATTATTTTTGTGTTTTTATTCTAATTACTTAATAAAGTAAAGTATATAAGTATATATATATATATATATATTAAATATATTAAAGGTATAAAAATAAAAATTAATTATTTACAAAAGGTATATATTTTGAGAAAATATTTTCAAATATGAATAAAAATAATAAATGAAAATAAACATATTTTTTACATTGTTTTTTAGGTTTTAATAAAAAGAACACAACATTTAAACATTTTTATACTAGTAATAATTAAATTAAATTCCAAATAAATACAAAAATTTATGAAAATAATTTTTAAGTATTTTTTATGTTAGAAAATAAAATATCAAAATCAGAAATGAAATAAAAATGCAAAAATGACAAATGTACAAGAAATGGGCCAGAGGGGTGTAAAAAGAAAAGAGGGGGGTGTCAAAAGCAAGCATGTACAGGCCCAGCCCAAACCAACTTCATCTTCTTCCTTTGAATAGAAATACGCGTGCTTCTGTACACAAATGTTATCTCCTGACACTACAAGAAAATTGGCAGATTGCGACAGGTATTTTTGTAGATCACGACGGTTAAAACCGTCGCAATTTGCTTTCCACGACGGTTGCTTTACCGTCGCAGAAGTGTGTGTCCCCAACCTATTTCGCGACGGTTACAAAAACTGTCGTTCAAGTTTACGACGGGTTGATACCGTCGTGACTATCTTTTGAGTTTCTTTTAATTATTGATGGCGACGGTTCGATACTGTCGTGAATATCTTTTGAAATTGATTAAATTGTTTATGGCGACGGTTCGATACCGTCATGACTTTTGTTGATTACGACGGTTCGGTACTGTCGCCATGACTTTTGTTTATGTCTTGATTTTTTTTTATTTTTCTATTATATATGTTTTTTATTTAAATTATTATCTATGTAAAAAATTTTAAATATAGTTTTTTTTTGTGTTATTTTTTTCTTTAAATTATTTCTTCTTTAATATATTTATTTATAGTATTATTTTTTGTTTTATTTTCTATCACTTTGTAATATAGTAAAAATAATTTCAATAAAAAATATTTAACATCAAATAAGCATTATAATATCCAAAAAAATGTGTGTTCCATAATCATGTAAAATGCGAGTTCCATAATCATGTCAAGTAGTACAAAAAACCCAAAATATATCAATTTCTAATTTTATAATAATAAGTATCATTATGCCAAAAATACATGAGAAAGTTCACAATCTAATTATCTCGATCATAGCAAAGTCTAATTTGTCCCCCCTGAAGTTCCATTATCTTCAATACGGTAGCTAGACTCAGTGGGTGATCACAAGCCTGACGGAGATGTAAAAGCATCAAAATAATATTTGCATAGTTTTGATTCACTGTACGACAGCAACATATGCCTGCAAATTACAAGCATTACTTTTCAAAATTACAAACTGAGAACATCCATCAGTGTAGAAATATCAGATGAACAAAATCATATAATTCGTAATTGACATGCCCACTGTCAAAATAAATTTCTAGACACTAATTTAAAAAAGAAAAGACAAACAGTATCATTACAGTATGTCCAAGTTAATATAAGAAATTTGAAAAGAAATAAACTTTAAATTGAGAACGTGAATCAGCTTCCAATTTTTTGTAGTATACCAAACTCCAAAATATTTAAAAGGTCCTATGTTGTGTTTGTCCCTTACTTTTTGCTGAAATTCTTTCACAAGTACATATAAAATTCTATTACCATTTACATTTTATTAAAATGACACAATTTTATTTTGTGTTGCATTTGTTTTAAAAAGGCTAGTGATACAGTTTAACATTTAGCTCTTAAGTTATAATCATTACCCATCAATTTATGTTGCACATGACTATTAAAATTTATAACTTAACATCCCACTGCAATGGTAAATGAAATGAATTATGAATACCTCAAAACCTTCTTTTATGCATTCATCATACTGCCTTGTCTTCAAGTATCAGGCCATCAAGTTAAGTGAGCATGCCAAAAGAAGTTTTCTACTTTGAAAAGATGGAATCTCTTTGATGTTTTCCTTGGCCTAAAATGTAAAAATTAAAACAAGGTGATATAGACTTATAGTGATAATTTCCTATAGTCTCAAAATAGAGATAAACAAGGGATTTTACCTGTGAGAACACCTTGTATGCTGTCCAATATAACAGATATAGAAACCAAAGGAGCCATGACAGTGACATAATCAAAAACTTCCTTATCATTGCTGAAAACGTAACCATAAACATGGCGGCATGCAAAAAGGGTTCCACTCACTATACCTGCTTCTATGACTGCAAGTGACATGTCACCTAACACAACAACACGTGCTTCAAATGGATTGCCAGCTCCTAATTCGTTTGAAACTCTCGTGCTATATACAGAGACAAATAAACGGGGATAATTCAATTAGATATACGTTCAATGGTTATACTATTAAGAATGAATATATGTTAAAGTTGTAACCTTGCTGCAGCACTAATTCCAAATGGTATCATAAAGAGAGTTCCAATCGTATTGTGACTATATAAAATGGAAAAAAATAGCTTAAAGTCTCATAAGATAACTAAGATTGATGGATTAGTAGTTAAAAAAATTGAAGGCAACATACCAAACTGATAGAACTGAAGTTTCAAGCTGTGGATTGGGTAACAGCCCAGAGAGTAAGACCATTAACTCATATGACCACCATTCAAGGCTACAATCATCAACATGAAAAATAAATATATCATTCAATTTAATCGAAAACAAACAGCACAACTACTTATAGAAAATTGCAATTTAGTCCCTCAAAATTACAAAATTGTGATTCGATCCCATGAACGGAACAACTTTGGTCAATTTAGCTTTTTTTTTTTCAAATTTATAAAAAACAATTTTAAATGTCTTATGTCTTGATGCAGCAACAGACTATTTAAATCGATTTGTAGATTTTTCATTAGTCTTGATGGATGTTTACTCAAAAGATATTGTGATAGAGGGACTAAATTGCTCTACCCTTATAACTTTTAGGACCAAAATGCTGATTTATTTCTTGAAAGAATGTATATAAGTTGAGTTGAAGGGAAAGAATATTCACCAAACCATTACTGCAGAAGGTATAGCAAAGCGCAAAAACTCCCAAATTCCTTGGAATAGCTCCATAGAAATTGGAGCTCGAGTTTTTGCACATAAAGAAGAGTATCTCATGTACAATGCAAGAAAAATCACATTTAACCAAATGGAAATGCTCATTGCAATTGCTCCACCAATATTATTCAATCCTGTCTTGAATACCAAAGCCCAACAAAGAGGTATATGGACAACAAGAGTGACACAAGAGCTTAAAAGCATTGGAGTAAGCAAGCTTTGTATTTGAAAATATTTCACTAATGGTTGCAATATTGCATATGCAAAAAGTGCAGGAAGAAGCCAAATAGTGAATCTTCCAGCTTCATGCGCAATAAGAGGGTCTTGTCCTGTGAAAACAAGTATGTTTTCAATGTTGATCCAAATGAAAGATAGTGGAAGACAAACCAAGATGAGAGAAAAGATAGCTGTGTATGTTTGCATTCCTATTCTTTGATACTGTTTTGCTCCATAAGCTTGTCCACATATGGTTTCTAGTCCACAGGACATTCCCACCTGTTAGCATGAGTGAAATCATCAATGCATTAAAAACTACTTCAAATAATTAAAAAAAAACGACAAAAGTTGAGAGTACCAGGAAGCTGAAACCAGTGACAGTGGCGAAGGAGATGGATAAGGCGGCACTAGAGAGATAGAGTTCACCCAAATGACCAACTATTATGATTGAAACTGTCTGCAACAAATACTGTGACAAGCCTATTGCTACCATTGGACCTGCTAAATAACAAATCTTCTTCATTTCTTTCATGTAAATATCCTTGCTCATTGCTTTCGAAACAATCTCTTTTCCTAATAGACTCTCTTCCATTGCGGCTCTCTCTTCCGCCATTTTGAAGAGAGAGAATCTGAACCTCTGAGTCTCTCTTGTTTGGTGGCTTTCTTAATCTTATACTACTACTATTCTCAAATGTATTACGGCATCTTAGTCAATTAAATCATTCACGGACAAAAATTGATACTACTATTCTCCAATGTATTACGACATCATAGTCTATTAAATCATTAACTACAAAATCAATATTTCTAAAATCACTAATTTAAAACAAAGTCAACCTACCAACTTATACTTCTGCAAAGCATCATCGAACTTTTCTTAAAATCCATACAAAATTAAAAAGCATCAACAAAATTTTATAACAATATTACCCGAGCAACATCCAAAGTGTCAAAACAACCAAAATCTTCATTGTAACAACATTTTGCCCATTCATCGATCAACCATCACAACTCACAACCAGAAGTTTGTAATCTTCGACAACACTACACTTGTTCATATGCAAAGTACTTCATCTTCCAACAATAAGAGGATTTTTGTTCTTGTAAATGTAATAGCTCATACACAATTTCTCTAAAGTTGCAACAGAATGCTGCATAGGATTTAGCTTTATATCCATCATCATTCTCTGCCATAATAACAACAAAACATTAAACAGCCTCCTGAACAGTACCCCTGACAGTGTTGTTAACTTCAAGAACAACAGATTTGACAAACTGCCCTTCATGATATCAAGAATATGTAGCTGAGCTTTAACATTTCGAGAAACTGCTAACCAGACCCATTCACTTTCGACTTTATATATATAACCAGCCACACATTGCCCAATCTTAAAGTCCAGTTTCTCTGATATATTGTCTCCTATGTCACTGGAACCTGTAACCATTTCAGGTCGGACTGAAAGCTCCCACCGTGATCCATTTCTGCTGCTATCAGCATCATTAGGCTTTGAAACTATTCTTGCCGTCACTGTTTGCCCAATTTTGTAGCCAGAAAATGGATTTTCCAAATCATTTGCATCATGTACCTCTGTTATGTGAACCCTGCCGTGTAAGCCAAATCCAAACTTCAGTTTCAGCTCAAAAGTTTTTATGTCAGTAATCTCTGCCTCAACCAGTGATCCCACTTTATAGCTAGACTTCTTGGTTCTTTTAGAACTAGATGTCCTGTTGACCTCATTCAGATGTAAAAGTAACCTTCCTGATGTTTCAAGGCTTGGAAGAGCCATAACAGATGCAACAACACTCTGTCCATTTAGATATTGTTTCCGCGGAAATCTTTGAGTATTATAGTCATAGAATTAACAACATATATGTTCTCTAGTTAATCATAGAATTACTTGTTAAACAATACTAATAACATTGAAAATGCAAGAGAGTTAAGAAAACATACCAAGAAAAGTAGAAGGAAATGCTGAACCAAACCTAGCAAATCAGGATGAAATGGTAGAAGTCCTGCAACCCAACCAAGTTTTAAGAACCCCAAAATCTAAAATAAGAATAAGAATTGAATTCCCAAACAAAGGAATCTAATTCAATTTCAAAAAGTAAAACCTTTGTTGCTAGCAAATATGACAGAAGCAACACAAGTCACTCAAATAAACATGCTTTGGTCAGAATCACACTCTGCAACAGAATATGATGCTTAAATGGTTATAAAGTCCTTTTACAACACCCACTAGGCACTATATAGCATAGCATATCAAAATTCTATAAACTCAGCCATACCTTGAGTTGAGCATTACAACAAACACTTGATGAGCATCATTTTAGTACTATTCTTAAAGAGTATAGAATACAATTATCAAAAGAAAATATGGGTTACTTACCATTGCCATATTAAACTATATATATATTTCTGAGGAAGTTCCTTCAGAAAAGAATAGCACTGATGAACAAGCCAATGGAAATAATGGTGCCGCCAAGACAGATGAACAAAATCCCTCTGAAGTTGCTGCTGCTACTGAGGATAGTGATCAAAAGATGTCAGAAAATGAAAACCCTAAAACAACAAATTAGAAAATCTAACATCAATTCAATATATTCAAACTCAAAATCAATCATCACAAAGAGCTCAACCATAAGATTCAAGTGAATCTCCAATGCTGAAATCAATGGCAGAGAATGAGAGAGATGAGAACAATGCAAAAAGTGATACATAAAACTTACTGTGTTTGAAGAGATGAATGCAGAGGATGTTAAACTGCTTGATGTGCGTTTTTTGGTGTGAAGATGAGCGGTTTGAAGAGATTCCTTTTGGTGTCAAGGGGTTTCTTTCGGTGTGAAGAAGAACGGCATGAACGGCACCGTAATTATTTTTGCAGATTTTTACCCTACTGAGTTGTGGGTATTTTTGAGGATACCATGGGTAAAATTGTCATCGTCAAGATAGATTTCTATAAATTCAACTGCTTAAGTGAGAGAGACTAACCTATCTGGAGATACGGTTCTTCCTTTCCCAAGAAAACGACGATGACCTTGAACAACCCGTGCCATGTTTCCAGGGTAAGAATGTACAAACACATCGCTTTCAATAGATACAATATAGTCAAGAGCAGCCATTTGAGATGCGTGATTTGAAAATGGTTCAAGTTCGTCAATAGATGCCAACTTTTCCTGATATTAGTTACATAGACTAAATCAAAACAAGTCTAAACAATGGTTTATAAATTTTGACAAAAGACAACAACAAAGTATTGTATAGTTTCTACCTTGCTCATTAAAAACGGATATCGCGATCGCAGTTCAGTCATATGAGACTCACCCCCATATATCTCCCCTGCAGCAATATATATAGGAGTCCTTGTAGGATATCCAAGAGCACTAAGGAAAATTCCAACTTCCTTTGGAGTTAAGGGACAATTCCCTTTAGACCTCTCTTCAGTAGGATCAATATGCTTTCTTTTCCAATAAGTAGTATTCTCTCTGCAAGTTTAGTTCATCAGATATCAGAAATAAAGCACAAGACCTCAACAAATTCATTACCTGATAATTCGTAGTTCTTCGGCCTCAGAAGTTGATAAATCATGCGTGCATCCGCTAAATGCAAGCATATCCTTCTCGTAACGTAAGTGTAATGTGATATAAGGACCAAATGATCTCATCCTCTCCACCAATAACTGCAAGTAACACAAAAAAGAAGAAAAAATCGAAATCAAAAGGTCATAGTATAGTAAAAAGTAAACATAGAAGCCAATAAGAGTTAGAATCTAGTAATATACTTTTCCCATCTTTTCAATGCGAGGAGAGAAACGAAGAGCTTCAAAACAAGCACGACAACGAAGCTTTTGAATATCTAGAGGTAGATTGTTATTCGCTAATCGAGAATCGGTTTTGGAAGCTTGAATAACCTTTAGAAATTTCAACAAATTAGACAGTAAGATCAATAAATCAATAGTAAGATAGAAATTTATATACCAATAGGTTACTTACTTTGAAATCATCCCAAAGGGCTGAAATCTCTTTTTGATAGTACTCTATACCAGACCAGCTTTTGAACTGCTTCACCATTTTGGTTGCATTAGCCAGATTCTTGGGAAGTTTCTTGATGATTTTTATATCATCAGCAAGAGAACTGATAAACCTCTTTTCATCAAAGATATCAGAGAAATTGCTGCAAATACATCAAGCAATGAACTATAAAACATAATATGTAAAATCAAATAACAGAAACCCAAAAGAACTCGATAGAATTCAAAAGTTACCTATTATCTTTCCAACAACGGCACCTGAGCTATGCAACAACGGCCTTTTCTCATGTGCGCTGGTGATGGTGCCTTACTAGAGGAACGCCTTACGGGCACTTGTTTGCTTTCTTGAAATGAGCTAGCTGTAGCCAGGGATCGTCAACGAACCTTAGCTATTCGTTGGATCCGTCTCTAGCCGCATTAAAGCCCGGATGGAAAACCCCAGGAAATACCTGGCAAGCCCCTGCTAAACCGCATCTGTTTCGGGTACAGGGGCTTAGAGGGGTGCTAACCCGGCCACCGGAAAGAAGAAGAGCTCAAGGCCGCCACAACATTAGATGACCTTGCTTTTTTGACAAAACTCATAACATGAAACTTGTAGAGCATCAAAAACCGAATCTAACCATATAAAAAACTTAAGCTAACTCTCAAAGACCAGAGAGAATTTCTCTGGCCCTAATTCTTAACCTAGTTTTTTCAGAAAGTTCATGAACAAAATTCTCCTAGCACGATTAATATAAATGAAAACTAAACACATGTATGGTTTCAGGGCTATGAATACAACATCTTTCATTCATAAACCTAAGTCTAACTATTCCTAAATAGAGAGATAGAAGTTCATGAAATACCTGTTTCAGTTGACTTCGAGCTGGACAATGCAGCAACTTCCAAGGGTGTTTGAGGTTCTTTTAAGCTTGCCTGATGTCCAATGAAGCTTTCCCAATGCTTGGCTTGTTTTAATGTGGCCTGAATCGTGCTACAGAACTCAACCTGCAAAGCTTTGAAACAAAAATGGCAATGTGTGTTAATTGTGTTACAGCTAGCAATGGAGGTCTGGAATAGTTCAGGTGTGTTGGTTGGAAGGTATTGGAACAAATTTTAGGCAAAACGCACGAGGGAAAATGGAGATGGAGATGGTTCTGAAGGGCTTGCCCTGTTTTGCAGAAAAACAGTGATTTTGTGTACAAGGAGGTTTGAGTGGTGAAGGGCTCATGTTTATGACTCAAAGGGATGTGTAAAATGTGTTTGCCATGTTTGTGTAAGCTGACTATGGATGGTTTTTGAGTTGGGAAGATTTTGGACAAATTTCTTCTTCTTGAAGCAAGAGTGTCTAACTTGTCAATACAGGCCTGTGATCCCTATCTTGTATGCTGCATATCTTGACCTTGATACTTGCAATTTGTGGATTTGATCTTGCCTCAGAGATCTGGCCCCATGCCTCAAGGATCTTGGTTTGACCTAAAGTGTAACTTTTTAAAAATGGCAATACACATTTTTCCAAATAGGGATTAGTTTTGCATGCAATGTCCAAATGGCCAAGATAATGCATTAGCTTAGTGGATTTGCATTTAATTAAGGAGTGCAAAATGGTTTAGAGGCCTGCAAGATAGTACAAAGCATGTTGATTTGAAAATGCCAGTTGTATGAACATGTATTGGCCATGGATCAAAGTGAGTTTTTTCCAACTTCGAGCATTCGATTCTCCCTAACCACAAAGGTGTTTTAGGAGTTCTTGGACAATTTGGAAAGCTTGCAACATATAATACAATCCATCTTTGAAATGAAACTTGAAACTCTAAGTGGAACTATGTGAAAAATGTCCAAGAAGATGGGTCAAAATCCTGCCTTAACTAGGGCAAAATGTTTCTAAGTTAAAAGTTTTAGGTACCCTTGTTCCAAAAATAATAACTTGAGATAGAAGCTTCTTTTGAGAAAACTTTGTGATTCAAAGTTGTAGACTTTGTGATGTACTACCACTTTCATGTTTCAAGATTGGTTTGAATCCATTTGCATCTTGGTGAAAAAATGGGACAAAGTTAGGAAAAAATAAGAAAATTTTATAACTTAGAAATTTTCGAAGTTATGAAAATTTTCCATTTTAAACCCTAATTTGCATTTTTGGGTTTCTTGATGAATAAGTTTCATAATTTGGCATGTCTTGATGAAAAATGACCCTTGGCACTTGATTTTGACCAAAAAGTCAAAGTTTCACTTTTCAGTGTACAGTCAAATTTTGATCAGTTGACTGAAAAATTCATCTGTCAATCCTATGCATTTGAGATCTTTTGAACTTTTTGAATGGGTAAAGACAATTTCATTGAGTCCTTGAGTCAATGGTTGAGCTTGATTTGCCATTGGCTAGGTCAAACAGTAAAAAATTGCCTTTGTGCAGTCAAAACCCTAAAAATGACCATTTTGCCCTTTTGGGGATCTGATCAAATTTCTTGTGGAATTGTGTTCCAAACTTGATCAAATGGTTCATATGAGTTCATAATGTTGATGTGGGTCAAAATTCATGAGTTCTGACTGTCAATTGGTCACAATTGACTTTTTCCCCAATACAGCTGATTTCTAGGTCAACTGTCCCATTGACTGGGCAAAAATTTGAGTCAAGGCTTGAAACTTGGTATGGACAAACTTGTGAGTCCACCATGAATTATGAAAGTCAATTTGGGCATTATTGGTCAAAACATCACTGTGCAAACTCAAACCCTAATTTAGGTCAACAGTGCAAGGAGGTGTCTTGAGCAGAGCAAACCCTAACTTGATCTGGAGTTCCAAGAGCCTTGTGATGAGAAATGTTGATGAAATGAGAGGGAAAATTTTGGGGTACAACAAGTGGCAAGCAAGAAATGTTCGCTGTGAAAAAAAAGTTCATCGAGCTGCAAAAAATTCTCAACGATCAGCATTAGAGGCACACCGTCAATTGATGCAAGAGATGGTTGATGTTTCAACATATGATTCGACTCAGCATATTTCACTTCATCAAGAGGCGTGTGCGATATGTAAGGATGACTTTGTACATGGATGCACAATCTGTGGACTACCTTGTCAACATGCCTTATGTGAGACATGTTTGACTCATAAGATGTCAGCGACATAGATTGTCCAATGCCCCATTTGTAGGGAAAAATTTAGAGAGGATAAAATGATTGTAAAATATAATAAATTAATAAATTTAATGTATTAGTTATTTTCTCTTTTGTTGTATGTTATCAAAATTTAGATTTATGTTTTCATGGTTTTTAAAATATGTTTTAAAATAAAACTCTTTATTTTTAGTTTTTTAATATTTTTTAAATTTTGTAATTCTTTATGAGAATTTAATAAAATTATAAATATTGATTTTAATACGTAAAAGGTAATAAACAAAAATAAGTAAACATTGAGATTTAATTGATTAATATTATAACTTAAATAAATTAATAACAAGGTGAAAAAAAGGTATATAAAAAATTAATCTACCATGATAAACTCTTCCAACAATAACACCAAAACAAATTAACTCCGCTTATACATCAAATACGATTTTCTCTTAATATCTTTCTTTTTTTAGATAAAACTCTGTGCTTGCTTTTGTATCACTTTTCACCTTCAAATTCTCTATTTCATTTACGTCATTTTCCATTCGCCAGAGCAAACTTAGAAATTTCCATAATTTCAAAGACAAACCAGTCAATTTCGTACAAGCCAACAATGATTTCCATGTCCAAATGCAACATGACGCCGATAGAACCGCTTTAACATTGTCTTCTATCTACAACAAAGACGGATGATAGATATTCTGATTCTGTAAGGGAATCAAAATCTCTTCTTCATTAGAAGAAGCATACACGCTAAAACATGGGTAGGAAAAAGACTCTGCACTCACTTTGCAATATTCACACGTTTATTGGTTTCCAAAACAATCTATTAAGTTTGTCAAATAGAATTAGTGGAGTACTCCATGTGCTATATATTATGGCTTATACTTTCACATGGTGTAAATGTTTAAATTCTATTACCACATGTATTTTTACATGTAAAAAGTGAGCCAATTTTATTTAATTCTTTATTTTTAACCATTTATTTTTGCTTTGGGGTCTAATTATCAAAATTTTATGTACTTTTTCATTGAAAATTACGTGTTTAATTATATAGGATCATAAATATAAATTAACAGTGACATAATTAATTTAAAGTGATATTAAAATGAAATTTGATTCAAATAGAAATAAATTTGTTTTTCTTCAATATTAATGCAAGGTTTTTAAGCTTCTAAAAAGGTACTCTTCATTTTTTTTTTACTATTTTGGTTAGACAATCTTTGTCCATATTCTAAGTAAATAAAAAAAAGACTATTGTGATTCCTTTGCATTCTTGGTTGATGATAGATTTGTTTTTTTTGGAGGTTTTTGATTTTTGACTTTTAATAATTACAATAATTTGTAATTAAAAAGATAAATGAAATAATTAAAGCTTTATTTTTACATAACATAATAAATTAAATTAGAAATTAAATATGTGATTTTTCTTTCAAATACACATATACATGTGTATGCGCGTACACGTACGCGCACATATAAAAAGGTTAATTAAATATTTAAGGAAAGTCTTGCTTCAAGGCTTCATGGGCTGGCGGGTGTTATAATATCATATTCATCATCATTAATTTGTGCGTAGAATTTGTAAAACACAAATTAATATAATAAATATGAATCTAAAAATGAATCACCATTCAAAACTTTTCTTCATTAAACTAGGGAAACTAAGTGATTCCAAGTTGACTTACACGTTCATAAATTTTCTACACACAAAAACAAATCATTAAACATTACATTTAGATAAGACCTATTAAAATGTTTTCTAAATTCATTTTATTGTTTACAAAATCTCACTTCACGATGTATAACATCCCTCTTTTTAATTTTACATATTTTTGAGAATCAAGTGTTTGGGTAAAAACAAAAGTCTTAGTAAAACAAAAAAAGAAAAACTGATTAGTTTTTGCATGATTTCTTGTAGCTTTGATAAACAATTATATTTTGATAAATAATCTAACCATATTTTTAGGACAATGAGAAAGTGTTAAAAATTTCATAGTGATACGTTTATTTATTTGAATTTTAGCTTTAATAGTTATTGTATCAGTTATTTGTTGGGTAATTGAAGAGTGGAAACAAGAAATGTTCGCTGTGAAAAAAAAGTTCATCGAGCTGCAAATAATTCAGAACGATCAGCATTACAGGCAGACCGTCAATTGATGCAAGAGATGGTTGATGTTTCAACATATGATTCGACTCAGCATCTTTCACTTCATCAAGAGGTGTGTGCGATATGTAAGGAAGACTTTGTACATATATGCACAATCTGTGGACTACCTTGTCAACATGCCTTATGTGAGACATGTTTGACTCATAAGATACCAGCGACATAGATTGTCCAATGCCCCGTTTGTAGGGAAAAATTTAGAGAGGGTAAAATGATTGTAAAATATA